GCAGCCTCCGCTTGTCATTCTTGCAGGTTCAAAATTGCAGCACGGGATGTTGACAAGTGGCAATTGGTTACTCGTTTACCCCACGATCAACGTTGCGCCTACCCTCTTCGACCAAGTTGTTATATGCTATCTAGCTGTATTGTTCTGTGTAATAGACAATTTTGAGGGGTATGCCTCGTTTTGTGGCAGCACTTAATGCCGCTGCATTATGAATGGTTTACCTTATGTAATCACAGTTCATTTAGATATGCTGGAACGGGTTATATTTTCAGGACGTGGATAGTTGACTTTTCGAACTGCGGAAGTCGTCGCAAGGCCGGTGGGCTTTGGTTTGAGTGTATCAAAACTCTTCCTTTCAAGCCCGAGGGCTTGCAACTTTTCTTGGCAGAGGACGTGTTTTGCCTGCAATGCACCCAGTATGTGCTGGATTATAGCACGTTAGAAACGTATATTCATATTTTTGACTTGTGGCTGCGAACTGAATTTGGCATCGAAACTCAAGCAAAGCGTGACTTTTCCAGGCACCCCGTTCTTGCTTTTTTGGTGAGATCAAACTTGAGTGCACGCTGAACAGTAAGCGTCCCTTCACGCCCTTGCGTACGCTAAGGAACCACCTGGAGGGAATGTCTTCTTTTTTCTTCATTTTCCACTGCTTAGACCATTCCTCCTCCACCCGTCTCCATCCCATGTTGCGAAGCTAAGAAGCTGAGAAGACCCTGAGAAAACAGTGCAACCTAGAATTGCTGCTCGATAGCTCACCCAATATCTGACATCGTTTGTTAAGATGAGCTGACGATAGCCACACCTCTAGCAACTGCAACTCACGGAACTTTACTCCGGCGCTTTTCCATTAGGAAAATGAGAGCTCCTCAGTAACGTCATTACGACCTTGCGTGAGGCAGTGCACGTATGCAAGCGCCTGCAAGCATGGAGGCGTCGATGGAAAGCGGAAGTGGGTGATGCTGTGAACTTCTGAAGTTTTAGGGTTAGATACACATTGTTCTCAAATTTGGCATATGCGTGCCTTACGTCAAGTTTGGTTTGAAATGCGCGCACCAGCATCTGCGTAGATTTTACGAGGCCGTGTGCACAAAGGATTGAGCGCGTGCGAGCCATTATAGCACCCCTTTTAAGAACATTGGCGCCAACCTCATGTTGGTTGTTAAACAAATACTGAATGTAGTATGTTCTTCCCGCTGAAGTTATGGGTTTGATAGCAGCACAAAAATGATGACCCGGAAGTGCCGGATTAAGCGTTAAGCTGCAATGACGTCATTTGAAGCCTATTTGCGCAAGTCGGTCCCATCCCTGCGTGAAATCACTGCTTTACCTGGTTTGCCGCACCACTACATTCCTGTGCTACACAAAATCCAACATTATGCTCCATTTGAATAGCTTTGCCAATAGCTATGCCCTCTACGGGAGTGAGAACGGTGATGGTGAAGAACGGTGACGGCCCTGTCCCCTGCCGAACTCCGGCTATGTGGCTCACCTTGTCTCGGGTGACACGCCTTCTGTACGTGCAGCACGCACCGTCGGTGTCGGGCCGCTCCCCGCTGACTAACCCCCCTCCGGCAGCCAACCCTGTCGGGCCCCCCGACACGCCCACCGACTGTGTCATCCGGAACCGTACGCAAGCGTCCCTGCACATCCTGTGCGTGGCCGGCACGGCCGGCGGCTACCCCCAACTCTTCCACCTGGAGGCCTACCAGGCGCGCACCCACGTGCTGCTCTCGAACCTTACCAATGGCCAGCCGGAGTTTGTGCTGGGCAGCCTGGGGCCGGGTGAGGAGGTGGTGGTTCACGTGTACGCGGTGTCGGACCGGGGCAAGAGCGGACTGGTGACGCTCGAGGCCGACACGCTCAAGGTGGCCGAACTGAAAACGCGACAAGGTCAGTTCACCGGCGGCTCCTGGTGCATGCTGGGCGATTGCAGCATGTCTGTGGTCCTGGGATGCTGTGGCGTAGTTGCATCCGTTTGGCCGGAAACTCAACTGTTTGAATCCGCAGCTGCATCCGTTTGGTGGTGAGACGCATGCGACGCTGGGGATATCGGAGTAGCAGCGGCAGGTCTGCCCGCATCGCTGTCCGCGCCTTTGCGTAATATTTGACTTTTACTGGCTTGTTCGCAACGCTGCCTTTGTCTCGCTGTTGGGCGCTATCCGGGAAATGGAAATATTGCAGCAAAAGTGGACTACGGTGAACGGCGGGGAGACCGCCGCTAAAACACTCGCCACCCGCCATATAAAACGCCTTAAAATAGTCCGTCATGCGCGAAACAATTGCCGTAGTCGTCAATCTTGCCACGCACGGGTCATCCACCCCAGCAGTGTCCCGGACAAAACGGCATCATTTCTCGGACGTCGGCCAATTTTTCGCGGCGTCACGTGAAATTCGGACCACGTGCCGCCGTCTGATATAGGCTGTATCCTCGCCGGCCCGAGTCGTCCGGCCGCCCGGGACTCGTCCAGTATCGCGCTGCCGCCACAGTCTCCATACCGGCCTGCCCCACAGATCATCGTCCGCCACCCGGTCAGCGGCCCGAGCCCCTCGTGTGGGGCCCAGCGCGCTCCGCTGCTGGCGAGCGGCGCTGGATACCTCCCATGGCGTTGCAGCAGTTGGAGATGGTGTCGCAGCAGTGGGAGGTGCCGCGTGGGCGCTCAGTCGCGCTCAGAGCGCTCAGTAGTTGATATGCCGACGGTTTTGTGGTCGTTGAATGGTTGTAATACAAGGGTACACAGCACAACGAAAAGGCTTCAACGCATGGTGTTGTTGATCATTAATGTTTCCTGCATGCCTCTGATGCGCGTGTTTGTTGGAACTGGCCAATAACAAAGAATGTGGACGCATGCATCATCAATGTTTGCAGGAAACCTGGTCAACCTCATCTAGCTGATGCAGGATGCGGAGTAGGAATGAAATTTAGTCACGCATATCATGTCTCATGCGACTTCGTACTGTCTGTTTTCAACACTTTTGCAATGCACGGTGTGTGTTACTGGATAATTGTAAGCCTCGCGTAAAGGCAGCCATTTCTCGTAGTGCATGGGTTCATTTAAGTTGGTATAGGTTCAACACCACTTCGGAAGTGCATGTTTTTTTTTCCTATACACGCATGCGCTAACAAACGAAATGCTTAAAGGTACCGAAGTTGCGAAGCGTCTTGTCCATTTTTAAATGACATGCTTATCGGCATGCGTCATGATCATGTTTGTAGCGAAATCGTCGTTCATGGGCGATTTTACATTGAAGCGATTTATCAACGACCTCGTAACAAGCAACACGATGGGCCGAAACACTGGCCGAGCTAATGACATTTACGACACCAGCCGCAACGCAGTCTCATAAATCATGTCGTCAAATGGCTCAGAGCTGTCACAAATTAGAACGTTAGTGCCTTGATTTAAATTGGGGCCACTAATCACAGCTTGATAAGCCCAACCTGTCATATCCAATTGAAATCTGTTAACAGAGCAAGCACCTCCCTTCCAGACGGCGACGAAGAAGGATTCCAGTTTACGCCGCTGGTGGGAATCCTCCTGGGCGCGATCACCGTTCTTCTGCTGATCGCGTTGGCCTTCGTGCTGACGCTGAGGCGGGTCAGGTCCCGGGAGCTGAGGTCAGCACGCCGCGACACCGAGGAGAGCCGCCAGAAAATGCTCAGCATGGGCTCTCTGGACAACGACTGCGTCGGCGACAAGAGCCCCGACGTTGTGCCCTGCACCAGCACACTGCTTGACCGGAGAAAGGGTGAGTGTCCAGGTGACAACGCGCGTCAGCTTGTGCCGCGCACCGTCGCGGTGCCCAGCTGGGAAGAGGGCCGGTGCGCCGGTCACGCGGGTCCTCTCTCCTGGCCCCACGCTCCCAGTCAGCACCTTGCCAAACGCTGCTCGGCAACGGTAGTCCCCGTCAGCCGGGACAATGACAACAGCATGGCCCATGTCAGCGCGCAGCGACCACAGGTGGTCCCGACCATCACGCGAGCCCCCGGGAGCGCTCTACTGCAGGACAGCTCCGCCCACAGCAGCGCACGTCGTCCCGCGGGCGCCGTGCTGCCGCCGCCAGCTGGAACTGCTAGTAATGTATGGTGACAGGAATGGTGCGCAGTCCCGCTGGGTACCGCGCCGTGCCACTGACGCCGGCTAGACTTTTTCTCCGCGCCTGATGGATGACCGCGCAGTATCACCTTTAGGCGGTAGAGAAAGGCCGATGCAGTCTAGGATCTAGGTATCCGTGGGTGCCACGAGTTCGCTGTAATGGCCGGTGCCTCAGGAACTAACGCGCGCGTGCGTTTGAAATTGTGAATCATTACGCTCCTACCTCCACTTTCTTATCGACCTATATGATGACGTTCGTAATGTCTGTCCGAGCGTCATGCACAAGGGGACCCGGGCAGATAACGACGCGAAACCAACTGGTATCTACCAATCAGCCGGCATACCCAATACCGCCTGACTGATGGTAACATCAGCAATTAGGTCGTTATCGCTCAAAATAGCCGTCACTGCAAAAGTCATGGCCCTTGTTGGTACAAAATGCCGCGCTCGTTTGCCATAGCGTATGTATCGGCGTTCAAGTCACGGGTTTATGCTGTTAGTTCTCTGCCCAGTGGATATCCAGACACATTACTCGCCCAATCTGGGGAAACCACACCAGCGACGGCCAAGAAGGCGAAGAGCCAAATACAGATAGGTGAATGACGGCAAGGCGATTGGGAAACGAGCTGGATAGAAGCAACGGAACAGATCGCCACATCATCAGAAAGACATCAAGAAGAAATTTTAACAAAGTGGATGTGAAGCTATCTGACTGAGAAACAGTGCCAGTGTCGTGTCACAACCTCTTCCAGGCATCTCGCTCAAGCACGCGGGAGGGGAATAACGTCATCCACAGGAATATCGCTTACCACGGAATCTGGGTCCATTCGTAGGAACCTGAAATGATGCAGTTTGGAGTGGCGAGAGCTAGGATTACCTCCTCCAAAAGGAGTGGAAGCGCTGCATGGGAACTCCGAGAACTCTGAAGGGCGTGCGCATGCATTCTTTGATCTCGGGAGTGCCATCTTTGATCAAGGCGTCCCACAAGGTCATAGCGTTGCATTGGGCTACCACCTGAGAGCTCTGAAAAGATGCACGCTATCAAGAACGAGCGTCTCTAGCTCCTTGAGAAAGGTATCACATGCTGCGGGACATCGCCACGCCACATGGGAAATGGGAACTGCGAGAGATTCAGAAAGCAGGGGTAATCATAAAGACAAAAGTTAAAGATCGCCCCTGGACACTTGAGGGTGGGGGACGCTCGGGCCAGCGTACTGGGCCGCCTGTAAGCATACAAGACTGCTATGAAGCGCTCGATTAGACGAAGTTAAGGAATTTGAAAAAGGTGGCAGGAAGGCGTGGGTATCGAAGATGGCTATATTTTGCAAGACATGTGGGTTTCTGATGCCTCAAATTGAACTCTTCTGAGCTACTTAGTCTGCGGGACATAGACCAATGCAAAAAAAACTTATGGCACGACGTGCCAAATTAAGTGTAACTTTGTAAGAATGTCAAAATGTACAAAAGTCCTTCCAAAAGTTGTACCTTATTCGTGGCAAAACGCAGACACCAGGTCGAGTCATATTGCTACGGATTATTTTTCGTACACGCAGCGATGTACTTCTGGATACACCTAGCTACGAAGATTGTTTTAAGGCACACGGTTTATTAACCACCTGGCGCTCTTTGCCCACGGTTTCCATTCCGGCAGCAGCGAGGGCAAATTTAACCAAGCGCGAAAGCGATGGTCAATTAGGTGCTTGCAATTTGAAAAGATGTGGTGTGGTTTAAGCCCTAATTAGAGCGATGCAAGCACGCGAACATATCGCATGTTCACACGCGAGGCATTGTAATCCCCCGCATCATACAGCTGGTTGGTTGGAGGCGCGATGGTTGCGTGCTGGTCGACACAGCCATAGCCAGATCATTAGTCGAGGCCGCCGAATGAAATGTCACCCTGCCTGCCGCCCTCGCGCCTGTGTGGAGGGGGGAGGGGGAGTGGCCGCGAGCGCGGACTGCCTCATGCCGCGCAAGACATGCCTCTGACGGGACGCCATCGATCCTGGCTGATTGCTTAGATCGATGACCATTATCTCGATGGTTAGCTTTCCTCGGTAGAGAACGTCGCTCCCATGCCGCCGGTGCCGTATGTAATTATGGTATATAATTATTCTGGAGACTATTGTCTCGATGGTTCACTTGCCGCGGAGGGGAAAATGTTGTCTATGGCTGTATTGGACGGTTGATTATGTTTGCTGGGGTAATGATAACGTTTCGTAGAGCGTAAAATACACCCACTTGGATCCTCTCATTAGATCAAGGAGCATGTGATATTCTGAGTTTGTTACTCTTCAGCTGTAAACTTTTGTCAGTGCAGCTTGTTCAACGAGCTTATGTCGGTGCTGTGATGCATGTTTACCACGCGAAGTTAGTGATTACCACCCGTTGTTTGGGTGTTTTGCGCAAACATAATGCCAGAGCGAAAGGCTGCGATGGCACTCCCCACCGAACCTCACCTGCTATGGCAAACACAATCCTGCCAGGAAGAATCAAAGCATCTCAGCTTCCATAATTATCATATCTGCGATGATTTTCGAGCTCCTTGGCTAGAGGCTTGGGCCGGTCCCTTCCGTTTTACTCTTCGAATGTGTTGCTTTCGAGAACGCGTCTTCCAATAGACGAACTTCGGTGATTTTACCGCGTAGGCGTGCCTGATCCCCGTCGTCAAGCGCTTTAGCCCCGTCACTTTCTGCGTAGACTGCTCCATGTTCTGACATAGGCATGCTGAGGTGGTGGCGCGCGTTGTGACATGAGATAACCTATGTCCTGACAGGTGTCTGTGCCGAGGGAGGGGCACACACAGACCCGGTGTGACAGCATGAGCTGTGCCCTGTGCATGCATCAGGGCACGGCGCCACAGACTACGACGTGAGACAACCACATGTTGCGACCTGGTCCCGTTCAGCTGGCGTGATGCCATGACCTCAGGTCACCTCGTGTACTGACCCGTGACTGCACGGGCGGTGGCCTGCGGTCCCGCCGTGTTTTGACCTGGGCCTGCCCTGGTGGTGGCACTCTGTGGCGCGGGGTAACCCTCTGTTCTGATCCGCTCCTGTGCAGGTGGGGGCGCTCACTATGACCTGAGGCGACCGCAGCCACCCGTGCCGCCGGCCATGCCCAGTATTTCGGAGGCGGTCTCGATCGCACCAAACAGCAGCCTGCCGAGGAGGCACGCGGCGATGGACTACCATGACCCCAGAATAGTGAGTCGGTGTGCCTGACTGGACCGCGAGCCGTGCTGAGCTTCACGTCCGCGCTCTAGGAGTGGGGTTCCCGCAGTGGATGTGGCGGGCGCTCCACAATCCCACAGCGCCTATTCGCGTACCTCACCAGACTCACCGAGTCCAGAATAGAATCCGCGGTGTCTCGCCGCCTGCACAGTTCTGTACGCACCAGCGCCTCCACAAATTCCTTATACTAAACTTTGTGCTTAGATCTTAGGTATCTTAGATCTAATGCGGGCCTCCCGGTCCGTTTATCCTTCTCTTGGACCGATCCCATTCAAGTTCGAGGAGTTCCCGCGACGTGGTTGGCTGTCCCGAACGCGCCCCGCCGTCGCCGATTCCTGTTTGAGTCACAAGCGCGTAGGTGTGTGTGTATTGACCGGCTAGGCATCGATCGCCGTAATGGACCATTTCTGTATAGTTTTTGTGGGCTTGTGGTGGGTGATTGATCCGGTTTGGCCGCGTTGGTATTGTTTCTAGCAACCTGATAGCACGCTAGTTTAGATAACACACAGTATTCGATAACACACAGTACACAGCATTGCGTGATTGGGAGTATGACAGGCTGTCATCACGCTTGGAGTCATATTGCATTATGACTGTGCATCTTTCATCTGAACCTCGGTAAACGGCTGTGCTGAAGGGAAGAGCACTGCATGTGATGCATGCTACGTTACGCTTTAGCTTCTGGCATCTAATACCAACAACGCTGGCTCGTTTTCGCCTTGATTCGCCTCATCCCATGTTATGAGTGAGAAGAGCCTCCAAAAGTTGGAAGGCTATTTGAGAGGCGATGAAACCTTTTTTGTCGTATTCGTGCCCGACAGAACCAGAACTCTAAAGATCCCAGCGAGATGTTGGTTTGGTAGGAACGGGCGAGGCAGTTCCGACTGTGTATTTCTGTTCAAGCAGCAGATTTGGGCACGGTTTTCGCACTTGTCCACTTTGCCAGCGTCAAACGTCTCCCTATCTAGCATATTCGTAACGGCGGTGTGGGATTAGCCACCCCATCGGCAGCCCCCTAATCATGATATAACGCGAAGTTCATTAACTTTTGGCGTGATAGGCCGTTCGAGCGATAGCCCGCACTTTCATTGTTTCCGAGTTGGTTATGTGGCATACTGTCTGAAAGCCAAACACATTTCCTTCGCTTCAAAAGTGGCTAGCGTGAGTTACGACTTAAACTGGCTCAGTTCGTGCGGCGGTAGGAACGTAACGTCAGGAACAACTTATGAAACCACCACTATCGGCAGTTTTGAGTAGGTGATTGAAAATTGTGTTACCACAGCGACTTAGTGACCAAGACATACACAGCCCATACACACGACTTAAATGGCAGTATTGCAGAAGCTCTGGCGTGCAGGACGGTTGTTTACGTTTCGTTCAGTTAGGTTTATTTCACACTAAAAACGGATGAAGTCGTGCTCCTATTTCTTTCAAGGCATGGAACTTGAACTTTCTTTCAAGAGCCATCTGAAAAATCAAGCTGGTATCATTGTGACGAAAATCAGCCAGCCACTAATTTTTCAACTTGATGGATCTCTCCCCAAGAATGCTTTTACGTGGGTGGTTACTGGATTAGAAGGTGAGGAGCTCCAAAAGATGGCACATTCACATCTCCTGGTGGCGCGCGCGCGGAGCCATGCACACACTCACGCACACATTCCTACTCGAGGAGCCATGTTTCGTAACCACCACCAAGACAACGGTAGAGCTCAATATACATCAGCAAGTTTTCTCCTTCAAGCGCGTTCTAGCCATAGCCGAAAAGTGATAAAAACAGTACAGATAGCACTGTTCCAAAATAGGATTTGTCGAAAATTTCCCAACATCCTTGGTGAGAGAAGGGCTGCAAATCCTTGTCCTTTAATGATAACAACTGCTAAGTAGTGCAGTCTTCGTGGTGCATCTTATCAAATCAAGGGGCGGCGCCACGGATTTTTAGTGCGGGGCCAGGATTTTCAAGGGGGCCTTTTGGACAAAATGGAGCTTCCTCACAGGGGGCCTGCTGGGCAGTGTCGTATTCAAAGGGCAGGGACACCGAGAGCGTGTCCTCCTTTATCAAGCTGTTACATACATCATATTGAAGTAGATAATTGTCAACAATAAAGAAGGAATGGAGGACTTCAGATATTCCAGCAAAAGGTCTCGGTAGTCTAAAACGAGGCCTTCTGACGCATAGAGGGTAACCCAGAACAAAATGCTTCCAACGGGCTAAGGGGCCTCGTTATCGCAAAACAAGGCACCGTGATTCGGAACTACGGTCATCTGTTGCATGAAATGGGCATCCTCTCCCAGAAATGGGGCCTCCTGAACATAACGGGTGTCTTATCACCCAGAACAGTGCCTCCTAGTTTATAACGGGAGCCCTCTCAACATAGCATTGGGTCTACTGATCAGACCATATGCTACCTTATTTATGAAGGTGGTCACATGATCCAGAAAACGGGCCTCTTGATGTAGAAAAGGTCCCTCTAAGATCAATGTATTACTCTCTTTCTCAGTTGTGGGGCCTCTTTGATCTGAATTTGGTTATCAGCGAGCAGTTGCAATGCCAAGATAATACGGTTAGACTTACTTTTCTTAGAAAAACCAGGAGAAAGGATAGATATAAGCGCTGATATTTCGGCTACATTCCTTTATCAAAACGAATATTAGTTGCGCTGGCAGGATTTTGGGCCTTCTGCTCGAGCTATGTGCTACCTTATTCAATAAGGTGGCCTCATGATCTAAAATATTATTGATACTGATATTCGTTGCGATAGATGCATGTAGCCGAAATTTCAGTGCATCTATCCATCTTCTATCCTGGTTATTCTACGACGAATAAGGCTAACAACACTGTCTTATGTATGTGCGTACTAACGTCCCTCGCAAATGCGTTTAACGGCTTAGGTAGTTATAATGTCCTTAGTTTGGGAAAACGGGCCTCCCAAAACCTGGAGGAAACATACTCCTCCCCTGCTTGCCAGAAGGGGGAGTGGCTGCTCCCTCTGACCCATCCACCCCCTTCCCTGCTGCGCCGAACCCCGACCGTAGCTGATTTGATGACAACTTCATGTTGTGACTCACAATGCATGTTAACGCTGGTGCATATAGGCTTAATATTTCAGTATAAGATGAAACAGGATGTACGTTGTCACGCATTCTTTTTTATGTAGTACCAACGACTACGGAGGCTATATTAGCGCTGAGGTACTACGGTCCAACACGCCTGTGTTAAAGTATGTCTACGATTTTGGGTACCCTCAAGCCCATAAGCGGAAGTCTGCCCCTCCCCTTTCACCAGTAGATGGAGCGAAGCTCTATCCAATTTCTTCTAGGTGCTCCAAGTTTCCATAAGTCATGGCGAGTGAAAGATTTAGTCGCAGTGGCGCCCCTCCCAACCGATGATAAAGCTGACGTTTGTGCGCTGCAGTATACACGTCCTGGCGAGTGTTCCCCACGTGTCTTGCTTGCTGTCTCGGTTAACGGAGATCACATCCCCGGCATCACCTGTAGTAACCCTCCTCAATTAAAGCATGCAGTTAAAGCCTGCTAACATGCCATCAACAGAGTCATGACCCGCATGGCATGACAGTCTTGCAATCACGTGACTTGTTCGACATATGGTACCGTGTTTGAAGCTTGAGGTCAGGTACGTGACCTCAGACTCGGTGCTGCTCAGACTGACCTCAGTCAGAGGTCAACCACAATGGTTAAAATGGATAGGAATAAAATAACTGCACCTAGTGTTAGTCCCACAAACATAACTGAATGAATGTTTCCCTGGGTTAATACCCAGGGCTTCGGTCTTACATTTATATATGTGTTAGTCATAATGATATGAGCGTGAGAACGCTGATATAATGACTACAGCATAAAAGCGCTGGGTAATATCCACGGCTTTAGTCTCATGTATATGTGTACTTGTTACAATTACATCAGCATAAAAGGGCTTATGATTGACGTTGTCGGAGGGTGGAGAACACTTGGATGGGGTGATCTGGCGCGCCACAGTGTCCTGTTTTATATTCGACGCGTTAGATCCGATCTCCAACGAATGTTTTAATGTAATTGACATGCAGGGCATTGGAGCGCTTACTGGAAAATGGCCATTCCGCTCCCTTGTCACGAATGATGCTCGGAAGTACTGGAGGCGGTGGCGCGCCGTTCTCTAGCTTGGTACGGGAATTAGGTGCAGAAGCTGTGGGACGATTGCGTTGCACGATACCAAGGGATGGTGCCGATGCTGATGACTGGCCGATGATCAAACCCGCGACCAGGTAATAATCGCCCTTAAGGACCATCCACTTGACCTTCGGCCTGAACTAGCATCGCTTGTCCGTTGATCCATCGCTGATCGCGCGCTGGTTTTTGCAGGGTCATGGGGACATGCACACGTTCATCTCGTCGCCTAGCATAGAGATGTTTCCGTCGCGGCTCTCCGAGCTGCCCGGCTTCCCGAAGGCACCGGCCCTGTCCAGCGAGCTGTACCGGCCGTATGACTCGATGGACGCCTCCGAGAGCGACGCCAAGGAGCTGGACGTCTCGTGCCATGAGAGTGTGGTGTGACCGGCGCCGGGACGTGGCCGCGGCTGCCGGACGCCAGCTGAGGTGCACGGCGCCGGCCGGTCGTGAGCAGTGGGGGAGGGGGAAGGGGGGGGGGGGGCTGCCACCGAAGCCGCGTGGAAGGGAGCAAGGGCATGCAGGCGCTGGCGCTGGAAAGTACAAGCGCTGGCGCTGGAACACACAGGCGCTGGCGCTGGAGCACGCAGACGCTGGAGCGGGGAGCACGACAGGACGACCTTGGCGGACGTCGGACGTGACAGGTAATGAAAACCGTTCTGGATCGGCAAGCTCGGAGAAAAATCCGGCTGGGTCATATGACAGACAATACGCCCTTTAAATTGTCTCAGTATGCATGTGTGTGTGTGGGGGGGGGGGGGCGAATTAAAAAGATACACTGGCAGTCTCGCGCAAAGAGAGGGGCGAGAGACACGGAGGTGCCACCAAGTACCATATGGGTATTGGTGCCCACTGACAAGACCTGTGCGTTGGAAGCCTTGTACCACTCACCACGGGACCCTGACGCCGCTTGACTTCCAGTCCTCCGCTGGACACAAGCCAAAAAGTCTCGGTCGACCGGTCTTTGGATGCGTGTTGAGCAGAACACCGGCCAACACGCTTTTTATGTGGAATGCCCAAAAACATTGTGGCACATTTGACTAATCCGTTATTTTTTCCCCTAAAATTCGTCAATTCACGAGTTACGCCGTAACGCCTGTGCGATTGACTGTCTTTGCATGACTGTTTTTGCGTTGACTGCCCTGTTGGTGGCGGGTGCGTGGAAGCGCTCGGATCAGCTATGAAGCATTTAATTAATCGTTTATTGCTGACGAGAAAGCGTGGCATGCGACCACATGCCAGTTGTTTATTGCACGTTGCGGCTGGAAAGGGGTCTTTTGTATGAAAAAATGTATTTCGCTCCGAGAAGAAAAGAATGGAGAGCCTTTCTCTGCCTAAATGAATGTGTTCAACGTGTACGTATCGGCTGAACCGTTAAGTTGCTTGTTAGCACAGTCTGTAGCCGTTCGCCCAACGTCAGTGTCCCCTGAAAGAGTGTCTTGTCCCCTTCAGGATGCACTGCTTCAGGAAGCGCCGCTGGGGCACCTCTCGGCGGTGCACGGAGCGTCGTGGAGCCTGGCCGCGGCCGGCGGGGGTCAGCAGGTCAGCCCGGCGAGCGGACCGCGACTGCGCGAGCACTGGTGCTGTGAACAGATCATGGTGGACTTCGACCGCGTGTGACGCGAGCGGACGGACGACGCGTTGATGCTGAACTGGCTGTGTGAAAGGACGGTGTTGGTGGACTCGTGCCGAGCTCGGGCGGCGCGCACTGAGAACGGCGCCCGAGAGGCATGGCCAAATGCTTGCGGATGAACACCTGGCCATTGACGAGGCATGAAGGCTCATCTGATGTCAGTTACCCGGGCCCGGTGGTTGACCAGGGAGGGGAAATGTGATAATGACCAGGTGCTGGGGCGCATAACTGCTTGTTGAATCGCTGGAAGGTCGTTATAGTGTTTTACTCGTCACAGTGGGTTTAATGATATGTTTTATGTTGGCGCGCAACCATTTACATGTCGCGACTAATGCATATATTACATCATGCTTCGATCTACGTTTTAATCGTATTTAGGGTAAATGTATATGAAATAACAACCTTGTTGGGCGAAACACGCATACTTAACTGATTCGTGGCCATCTATTACCGTCTGAGAATTACCTTCTTGCAATACTTAAGTTCAAGTATCATCTAGGGAATCAATCCAGCGTATATGTGCTTCAAAGCACGTTGTTGGCCTTTGGCTTGTACCGACGGGCTTGTTCTGTGTACCTTTATACGTTGATGTACTGTCTTATGTACGCGATACTCACAATACATGCGGAATCATGTCATCGTACAGGAATGGCGGCAATTCATAATGACGTGCTGAAATAATAAGTACACATGTTGTTATACATACATTGTCTGGTGCAGGGCTATACCCAACTCTTTTTGCATGCCATTCATATAATGTGCAAACCTATACGCATGCATGCTCGTGTGGGTTTGCCCTTGGGGTTTGACATGGTTTTTAGCATTTATCAGTGCCCCATTGTTCCCATCGTCATAGTCGACGTCAGATTACGCACATACGCGCACGTCACCCGCAACTTATCTACGTGCAACGCTTACCAGGTTGTCACTTGTTCAGCCCAGCATCGCTGCGACGACATGAGCTGCACTCCATCAGTCAGCAACATCATTGCCCGTGTTATCATTCAGCGTCACCGCCTCCGGCTTTGGAAGACTCGTCTCGGATGTGGCTTTTGTTATTTTGTGCTGGCAATCGTCTTTCCACTCACCACCTCGTCAAATTTATTTCTACGTCCCGAAAAACAAAAGATTAACGGCCATTTGTAGTGACGTGACATAACTCTGTGCAACAGTTTCTAACACCGAGCCGTCATTCATTCAAATTGTCATTCAAAGAGTCGCTCAAAAGTTGTCGATCACTGAAGTCCTCAGTTTTCTGATACATTAAGATAAATAAATACTAGCTGACTATGTTCTCGAGAGCTCGCATTACTGCTATTGCAATATGTTGGGACTTTTACTGCTTGCTAATCCCACAATGTAAGGTTGAGACATTTGGTTTTAGCCGAGCATATATTTACTACTGACCTTGATTTTCATCCACCAGAGCAGTGCGCATGACGCATGAACTGATGATAAACTGATTGCAGCTCATAGTTACCGTGCATAGGATTGCTGCAGGGGATTTGCGCATGCGCGGGGAAATGTAGAGTTCTTGCCTGTGCGCAGAAGATAAGGCAATGGAAGCCATTTCCGGTATTGTCAACATTACCGTTAGACGCATAACGGTGCGTGAAAGAAAAGGAATTAAAACACTATTGAACCATGCTGGGAGGGATTTGTTAGCTATCTTCAGGTATCACGTTATCGGCATTGTTTTATGTCGCGACGTATGCGGAATTTTAGAAATGAAAACAGACTAAAAACTGCACATTTGGCTACAGATGCAGCATACACATACATTATATATATATATATATATATATATATATATATATATATATATATATATATATATATATATGTGTGTGTGTGTGTGTGTGTGTGTGTGTGTGTGTGTGTGTGTGTGTGTGTGTGTGTGTGTGTGTGTGTGTGTGTGTGTGTGTGTGTGTGTGCGTGTATACATCTAGACAAAAATCTTAGACGGCATCCGATAATTAACCAGTGTTTTAACCGGTTTTACAAAAAATGGTTAATCGGTATTTTTTATCAATTTGATCAGACGGTGCTGGAGATCCATGGTCACGAAAGGTCCTTTTGCCTCGAAATCCATCCTGCCGGGTCTGCAACATGGACCAATTCTGTTTGTGCTACGGTTCCCCGTCACTGCTCCTGCATTTGAACCTTAGAGCAAGGTGTCCGGGAACTGAGGTGTGATCCATCTCACTCGGATTACGTGAGAGCCATACGGGGTCTCTCACTCCACGCACGTGCGGGGCATAACGCAGTGGACCGAGCGGATGGACGGAGCCGGGAGGATCCATTCGTCGCTCTTGGTGGTCGATAGCCCCTAAATCTGAGCAACTGAGGAATTAAACTGTGCGGAATTACAGAGATGCCTTTTCAAACGCTATTGGGATTTGTGCTTCGTTGTTTGGGACAGTGTGAGGAACCAACTGAGAAGTTTTGCTCCTGCAGACTGTAAAAAGGAGCTTCGGATCATTTAGAACATAACGCCAGATGCCAACTGCTGCACCTTCATACTTTTGTCACAGCTTATGTAACAACTTATGAATCCTCAGCCAAAAACTGAGACAAAATTGGAACACCCATATTTGTGTCATAATCAAATAATGCACAGTATGTCTGCATGCCCAACCCAACCACCGCTATCAGAATCAGACCTAACCTCACATGTACTGTTGGGCAAGGTCAGGAGCAGACCTGCAGTAACAGAACTTGTCGTTGTCACATCTTGCCATGACCAGGACCTCCCGCCCGGTGCGTGATTCCTGGCACGCTTGCCATCAATCTTTGGTCCAGTGCGGCAGCAGCCTCGTTATACGCATTCGACTTTCACTCCCGTCTGGGCTTTTGCTGTCTGTGTCCGCAGAAACCTTCAGCAGTAGCCAGAACGCGCTGATGGGTCATATCTGGGAAAATGACGTGGATTGCCGTCACACGTCAACAGCTTTACATTTACATGGTTCATCTCCTCCGGAACTCGCTGTTAGTTGTGCGCCGCGACCCAAGCCTGGCCAGAAATGTCATCTTCCCTATGGTGGCGCGGCACAGAGATTCTGATCAGACGGATCCGAATCCTTGTGCACAGATCAGGGCACAGAGCACGGCATGACACGCTCTTCTGCGTGTCATGCCGCCGGCTGTGTGGCTCCTGTGCCTATGCCAGGCAAATCTGCCTGACCCCACCGCCAGACATGGCGCCCAAACTTGCTAGCTGTGGGAAGTTCTCCTTGCACTGTCCTTGTCCTTTGAGATACTGAATACACAGTAAAAGATCATGAATAACAGCAAAATTTTAAAGGAATCGATTAGTTACAACCAATAGAAATACAGATAAACACAATACGAATATATACTGTCTTTGTACCACCCATGATCGTCCACAGACAGGACTTGTTTCCATTTTTAGTCGTAAGATCCCGGGGGAAAGGGAGCTATTTTGTAAGGTGAACATAAATTTAACCCGTGTTTTCAAGAACAGCCTGAATTGAAAATATTTAGATTTACAGCCGGGAAGTTTATATATCACGTGTTGTTTTTCTTCGTACTCCATGATGAGGTTCCCATATTCAGTGTCCGTCAGATGAGCATCTACCTGCAAAGCGGTTACGCAATGGGGCCCTTCACAGCCGGAGTATAGTGAAAAGCAACGCCCGTTAGATGGTCTGGATGTCAGAACACAGCGGTGGCGGCGGCTGCGAGCTGTGTGGCTGGTTCTGCCAGAGGCAGGAGCCCAGCCGCTTCCCCGAGCAAAGGCAGCGTCCCGGCGTGACCCCGGCGTGACCCCGTCGTGTTGCGTCATGTGATCCGGGAAAAGGCGTTACAAAGAGAAACCTGAAACTCCTGGCGCTCAGTGGGAAACCAGACCGCTTCCCCAAGTTTGTGTTTGGAGCAACATCTGGCAAATGGCGAAAACTCAGAACTCTTGGTCCGTGGTGTGCGGGGAAAACGAGGGGAGAGAGAGAGGGAGCCTGGGGCAATCTGCCGGCCGAGGCGACAGAGGAAGTTCTGCTCTCCTGGTCCAGGGTCACTGGGAGGGGCGTATGGTGGACGGAGGTGGGGGCTCCAGGTGGTCTCCAAAGGGCTAGCCTGCGTCCATGTGGGCAAAGCCTCGGACGCCCCCGGACCGCACAGAGACAGCTCGAGCGCGGGAGCGGGCCAGTGAAGAATCCAACTCGGCTGATGATCCAGAGGTGGCCTGGCCGGTCGACCCGGTACGGGGGGCAGAGCTCGAGCGAGGGAGCGGGCCAGTGAAGAATCCAACTCGGCTGATGATCCAGAGGTGGCCTGGCCGGTCGGCCCGGTACGGGGGGCAGAGCTCGAGCGAGGGAACGGGCCAGTGAAGAATCAAACTCGGCTGATGATCCGGAGGTGGCCTGGCCGGCCGGCCCGGCACGGGGGACGGCAACGTTTCATGCATCCAGGACGGGGAGGGAGTCTCGCGGGAGGGTTAGACCTCGCGTCACTCTTCTCCCGTCGACCGTTGACTTCGGCCGGGGTAGGTCATGTAGGATCTTCATGGGGAGGCGGACGGCTGCTGTCCGTGCTGCTGCTGCTGTTCACCCCTGGTGTCGGGAAGGGTGGTGGTAGTGTGACATGCGTGGAAGTGCGGGGAAGGGCCGGCTAGTGATGGCTGAGGGCAGGCTAGTGGACGCTAGTTGTAGGACTCACCTAAGGCTATTTGTAGGACTGATCGAATGGACAGAGCAGTGGGACGGCAGAACAACAAACGATGAACATAAACGCAGTGGACAAACCAACGATCAAGAGGACAAACGGTAACCTAAATCTTCTGTAACACCCGACATTAGCGATAGAAGGGCGGAACGAACGCACAGAAACGTAGCCCCCGGGAGGCTGACGGTCGAACGAGGAACCCAGTCCTCTCCGCGAACCCCGCCGCCGTGCCAGGGCGGCCCGTGCCCCCCTGGGAGCTTGTCGTTACCGGCTCGTCGACGGGAGCCTACTGGCGCTGACGCACATGAGGTCCGGGAGGACCGGTTCACGCCGCGGGCGCCGCCGGCGCCGGCCGCCGCTGATCGATAGCGACCCAGTGGAGCGCACCGCGCGAGGAGAGGCGCCGTGGACGTCCTGAGACAGGAGACGTCATGCCGAGCTCTTCGGCCCGGTCGCCGCCTACGCTGCCATAGGGGCGACAGTTTACAAAAGTGCTGGCTGCAGGAGTCAGAATCTATGTGATGTTGACGGTGTGTCGCCAGGCAGGACGAAATACGTAGTGTACGAAAAATTATGATCACGGTGGTAGTGAAAGCAAACAATGGAGTGCCTCAGTTCCGGGTGTTCTGCATGATACAGAAAAGAGGAGAACAAATAACAACATATCAATCAGAGCTTTTGAAACCTGTTAAAACTTGTTAAAACATCCGATTCCTCACGCGGAGCTGCTTCACAAAACATTCAATGGGCTTGCAATTCACATGGCACTACATTGTCAACAAGCCTTCCTGCACGCGCAGTACGAATCGGCCGTTGTTGGACTGGGTGCAGCCAGATTTGTGCTTGGTTCATCGTGAATTGAATCGATTCCGAGTTGGAACCAAATTGATCGAAGCTTCGCTTTGGTTTTCGTTCTGATTTCCTTCATTCCGATGCAAATCATCTACGTTGAGACGAACACTGATACAA